CCCAAAGAACTATAGTTAACATTTTTGAGCATCTTATTTTGTATATGTATATGTGTATGTATATACGTGCTTTTAAATTTGGTTTTCTTCATGCTTTCTGTGGAATTGGAATCATATTGCAGCTAGTTTTGTACACTGTTTTTAAAATTCAAGTCACAATATCTTGTAATTATTTTCTCCTATTTTTAATGCATTTAAGCATATGAATTTAATGACCTCATAGTGTTTAATTGTATGACCCACTGTAGTATAATTTGTTTAATCATTCATCTATGATTAGACAATGGACATTTATACTATTTGCAGCCTTGCCTAATATAAATAAAATTTTCTTTCTGGTCCTGGGGCTTGAACTCTGGGTCTGGGCACTGTACCTGAGCTTCTTTTGCTCAAAGCTAGCTCTCTACTGCTTGAGCCACACACCACTTTTGGCTTTTTCTGAGTAGTTTATTGGAGGTAAGAGTCTCATGGAAGCCAGGCGCTGGTGGCTCACGCCTGTAATTCTAGCTATTCAGGAGGCTGAGATCTGAGGATTGTAACTCAAAGCCAGCTGCTTTTAGATATGTTTATATTCTTAAATTCACTCATTTTTTCAACTCACTTCATTTTGCCATCATTTGAAATATAAATGTTAATAAACTGGTAATAACTCCAAAAATAATTGGAATGATGTAGCAAAAATGAACTATATTTGGAAAGCTTTTTCGGTGACAAATGGAATTTAAATTATGTTTGAATGAAGAACAATCTTTCCGTTTTAAAGCTTATTTTTTAATTAATTAATTGACTTTTTTAGGATTAAAAAACATTTTCCAGGGTCCAATCTGTCATTTTTCCAGTCTGGGCTTTCATTGTACCACCAGAACATTGGAGGTAAGTTTTCATGAGTAGAAATATATGGAAAATTTGTCTTTGTCTAACAATGTAAGACTTGTATATGGATTTATTTACAATTAGGTTGGTTGGTCTGTTAAACATTTTAAAATAGGAAATCAGTGTTGCTGTTGACCTTGAATCATTCTGCAGAGTTGCCCATGGGAGAATATGTTGCAGTAAGTATGTGCTGTTTCAAATGTCTAACCTTTTACTCTTGATTTTTAGAGCTAAAATATGAACAAGTTTGTTTTCTCTGTTCATGCCGTCACTAATATGTATGTCTTGCCTTTCTTGTCTGGCAGTAACATGGACCAGTTTTACTTTAGTTCTAGCTAAATTTTGAAGTGTCTTTACTTGCTCTTGCTCCCCAAAAGTGAATATTACATGTTCTGTCTCCATGTAGTAAGATAGTATAGTAGTCAATGAAACCTTGTATTGTAAGGAACAGTCACAAGTATAGATGAAAAATTGTCAAGTTAAACTCCTAATGCTCTGTTTACAAAAGATAGAATATTTTTATCTATCACTATCTTAAGTTCAGAAAGAAGAAAAGAGATAACTATAAGTAAATTAACTTATCTTGGAAAAGGTGAGTTGTACCAAGAAAAAGAAGGACCAACAATGAAATGAAATCATGTAAGAAGTAACATCTAACTATGTTTCAATATAACAAAGAAGTGATATCCAACCAAGAAGACTTATCTAGAGTCTAGATCCCTCACCTCTTAGGAAATAAAAATGCTAACGGAACGTATAAGTTTGCAATAATACAGGTTACTATATAATAAAAAAGACTAAAGCTTGTCAAATAAAGCTTAAAGATGGCATTTTGGAGTAAAACAATAAGTTACAAAAATTAACCTTTGCAATGTTTAAGATATTCTAAGTAAAATTAGCTGATTGGTTCCACCTTCTGTTTGATCTGATATTTGTTGACCTGGGACATCCTGAATGAATAGAATGGGTTGTTTCCTTCTATCTTCATGGCAGATTCAGTCATCAGGGAAAACTTGATATAGTAGTAAAGCATTTTTCTCCTGGGGGTGCTCTTTGAAGGATTTTGAGCTCTCTGAAGCCACATATGTCTTGTGCTACTAAAAGTTAGGTGATTTGAGGATATCCTTCCTTCCTTCCTTCCTTCCTTTCTTCCTTCCTTCCTTCCTTCTTTCCTCCTCCTCCTCCTCTTTCTTCTTTTTCTTCCTCCTCCTTTCGTCTTCCTTCTTCTTTCTCCTCCTTCTCCTCTTCCTCCTCCTCCTTTTTATCATCATCTTCTTCATCTTCTTTGTCTTCTTTTGTGCCAGTCCTGGTGCTTGAACTTATGCCTGGATACTGGACCTGAGTTTTTGTGTTCAAGCTAGCACTCTAGTATTTGAGAGCTGTACTTCCAGATTTTTGGTGGTAATTGGACATAAGAGTCTCACAGACTTTCCTGTCTTTGCTTCCTTTGAATCACAGTCCTCAGATCTTAGCCTCCTAGGTAGCTAGCGTTACAGGCATGTGCCATATAAAATATATTTAAGTAATTGGAACATTGTATAATTTTATTTGTTACATAATACTTCTTCATCAATAAATTGATATACTTAACAAGTATGTGATATGTCATTTGAATTGTCTAAGGGAATTCAATTTATGTTATTGTAAAATGCTAATTAGGAATTTTTAGTATTTTAATAAAAGTAGAATAAAGGCATATTGTTCTCTTTTAGGACCTGAAGCTGAAAATACTGAAATTTTGCTATGCCCAGAAAAGGTTGGTAGCTATATAGCAATACAGGTCTTAGACTTCAAGTTTTTAAAAAATGTGCTTTAAGTTCAAGTCCCAGGCACATATAGACCCACTCCTAGGAGGTGATGTGACCAAAACATTTTAGTTAGAAATTTATTCTTGTCTGAAATCTTGCTCCTACATATATTTTTTATATTTAGAGTAGTACTTTCTGTATCTCTATTTCTTATATCTTCTTTATCTAGAAAAATGTGTTACTTACTACACTTTTTGTACAGATGATGTGGTAAAATACCTTCAATTTGGTTTGTCTATTAACCTGTTTTTAAAAAATATGTTTCAGGGGAGATAGGCTTTTTCATTTTCTAGTTGCTAATCTGTATCAAGTAGTTACTTTTTCTTTGCTTTCTACTTGGTACTCACACTGTCCTTAGGGACAGTAAGCAGTCAGGGATCTTTCTAGGCCAGCCTACCATATATGATCTTGTCTTATTTGTACCTTACATATTTCCTGCTGCTACATTGGTATTTGTTTCATAGAGTTTGTTTCATAGAGTTCTTGAGAGGACCAAGAGAAATAATGCTTCATGATGTCTGTCAACTCTGGTGCTGGATAAATACATATTCTTTCACTTCTTCCCCAATTTTTTATTTCTTGTCTCTGGATCTGTTTCAGATGACTTTGATGATATTGCTTTCTCAGTACCATTCAGTTTTTACTGACTCTCAATATTTCCTAGTCATTAACACTCTCTGACATTAATAGATTATCTGGGAAAAACATTTATTAGAAGAAAAAGTTTGGAGAACACTACCCTAATGTTTCCTTGGAGATTTACAACACATATAATCTGAAAAGTCCCATGGTAAAGCAACTTGTTTGATTTTGCTTCAAGCATTTTTATAACATCATGGACACTTTCCATTGCTTTCCTTCTCTTTGAAAACTTATTTTTACAAGAGAATAGGCTCTGTTAACTGTTTGTTATCGCTACCCAGTGCCTTGAATTTAGTAGACATAAGGATTTAAAATAGAAAGAAGATCTGCAGATGTGACTTAAACAATGGATAGAATGTGTATGAACTATTTCTCAAATTCCTTCTAAATTTGTCTTTCTAAGTAAACTATAATTGGCATTACAAAACTCATATATCTTGTTAACTCTATGTGCTATACAAAGGTGATAAAGTGTGATAGGAAAAAAGAGGAAGAATAAATGTGTTAACTTTCTTTACTCACATCAGAACAGAATATTAGAGGGCTGAAAAAATGGTAATACATTCTGCCTGAAACATGATGGCTTTGGTTTTCTGGAAGCGGCCAAAGGCATTGAAACCCATTCTGCTATGTAATGTCATGAAAATGAACAGTTTTTTTTAAAAATTATTTGAACAGATTTCACTACCTTTAAAGCACATTATTTTCTCAAATGGCCTGTCACCTGATTTCAAAAGCAATTTCAAAAGGGATATTCTAAATATATTGAGCATTGGAAACATTGCAAAAGTAGATATAACCTATTAAGGTCATGTCTTTGAAAAATAAGTCACTTAGAAATGTAAATTTTATGTTTACATGAACATATTACTCAGAACCATTGATTTATAATTTAAGAATTGTAAATTTTACACAGAATTGCAATCTTACTTTTCCCGTTTTTGCATCCAGCCTCCTATCCTTTGGTCATTTAATTCACTTTTACGTATTCACAGAATGATAGAAAATAAGGTAAAATGACATCAATTTTATTTCTAGCTAATTTTATAAAACTAGGAATATTTTATAAGAAAGAATATTGTGAGATGTACAAGTCGTTATGTCAAAAACGAACTTTACAACTTTGGTGGTGGGGGAAGGAGGGTTGCGTGGGGGGGTGGGGGAGGATGGGATGGGAAGGGGAAACAAAGGAGGAGGCTACAATGCTTGATAACAAATGTACTCTCATTATCTTGCCCATGTAATTGTAACCCCTCTGTACAGTATTTTCACAATAAAAAAATCAGGCAAAAAAAGAGTAGCACAAAAAAAGAAAGAATATTGTAATCATTAACTGCTGTGAAGTTTTGAGATCACCTGTTAATTTAACTATCTATAGCATCTTTGTCTCTTGTGACAGAATAGGTAACAAACTTAGTTGAATTAAACAATGACTATCTGTGAATATGATCCAACCAATCTTATAACTGGTTCACTATTAAATGTTCAAGCATATATTCTATCATTAGTAACGTGGTATAGGAAAGAAATAGAAAATATTTTTTATTTATAGATGAGGACAATTGATAAAAAACTTTTTTGAGGACAATTCACAAACAAAATGAATTACAAAACTATAAATTTCTTTAAACATTTCTTTGCATTTGCTACAGTAAAATTTCTATTTGAAATACACAGGAACTAAATGAAGACAGAGTATGTCCTGAAATTAGTCTTTTTTCAAGTACTGCTATTACAGATACTGATACGGCTTCTGTAAAGGAGAAATCACTAATAGAGACAGAGAAGATATTATTAGCACCAAACATATCTTCAGAACCTGAGCAGGAAGGAGTCACATTGACTGTGACTTCTAAAGAATCTGTGGATGAAGAAAGCTCAGTTGAAACTTTTGTGTCTGCCTTAGAAAAGCTGTTAACATCAGAAAGCATTAAAGAAGAAAGAATGTTGGAAATAATGAAAGATTTTGATTTTGGAGAATTGATGAATTCATTGAGTGATTCCCCAAGTTCCATATCAGTACCCACGAATGCCATATCAGCATGTTGCAGAGATTTACTTGAAAACACAAAGGATGATGCATTGCCAACTGAGTTGTTGGCAGCCATCAACACATTGTCAGAAGCCAAAGTGGGGTCCAGCTGTCACGGAAAAGAGCAAGGTGGCAGATTTGGTGGAAATGAATGTTTTGAAGTGGAGCCTGATTTGTCTCAGATGGATGAAGACTGCACACAAATAACTGAAGTAAATTTTGACTCCTTTTGTTCTCCATTTGAACAAGGTTCCAATTTAGCGAGGCTCCAGGACAACAGTCTATCAGTGGAACAAGTAGGTACAAGTAATTCATCTGATTTTTCCTTTCATAGTGATTTTTAACAGGTCTTCATTTTGTTAAGTTCAAACCTTTTATTCCAGAATCATCTATAAGATAATTTTTTAACTCAGTGATCTTTTTAGAAGTTCTTGAGTCAGAGTTTTTAAGGAGTTAAGAAGTTTAAATAGATTTTCCCCAACAGATCTGAGGAGCTATTATTGGCTTGCTTATAATAGGAAGGAAATAATTTTTTTACCAGAATGTTCTGTTACCTGAGAATAGATGTACATATGAGATGTCTTACTAATTTGTAGCTGGACATAGGATATATGTGATTTAGATTACTGAGGAAAAAATTATGTTTAAACAGAACTTTACCTTCTGTGTCTGAGAAAAGTGCCAGGCATAACTCTTGGAGTTTAAAATTCCTGTAGTATTAAGCCTGGAGCTACTGCAGTGGCAGATCAGGAGTCAGGTTCCCTTTTCATGTTGACAACTTACAGACTCCTTATAAAATTCAAAACTGAGTATGGAGGCATATGTTCCACCTCTTGGGAGGTTAAATTATTGCTTAGTGCCAGGAAATATACTACTACTTAAATATTTTAACTTCTGATTGATACTATTGTCTAAATACAGTTTAATTTATTTAACCAATTTACTAATGATAGTTATTTGGATTATTTTCTTTCTTTTCTTTTGGCTGTTATGAAAATGTTTCTAAGTATATCCTTGGGAAGATTTAGAGATAACATTTATATGGAGTAATGTTGCATGTATTTCTAGTCAATAAGTCTCATACAGATGTAATAGTACTAAAATAAAATCCAGAAAAAGAGACATTAATAATGGAGATAGGGATGAAGTATTAACATTGTAGTGTTCTAATAAGTCTGAGAAGAAATATGAGCAAACTGTAGTAAATTATTATTGATATTAGTAAAGTGAGCATAAACTTAGCCAGTTTCCAAATAAAAGAAGAAAATGCATTTAAATTTAGAAAGGTGTTTTATCTAGATCAAGTCTGTATGTGATAACTTTTACCCTGAGAATCTTCATAAGCTGAGTATATAAGTAAGCCCAGGAATGTTTACATGAGGTGTGTAAAAAAATAAGGGCCACCATAGAAGTTAAATTCATACTAGATTATTAAGAGGAAGTTAGAGTAATTCATGACATACTGGTGAGTGTGAGCCACCAGTGTGTGGCATACTGGTGACCTTTCAAAGTCAATGTTAGGGAAATTATATACTATATTGTCTCAAAAATGTCACTTATTGCTGCTGTCAAGAAACAAAATACTAGGCTGAGTAGGTCCTTGATCTGTTTTGTATAATACTTTGTGTTTTTATGAATCTCTCGTATATTATACTTACTTCCTACAAAATTTAAGCAATGGAATTGCTTTTCTTTTCTTTGAATCTGTTTTTTTTTTCTTCACATTACTGAGGTTTAAACTCAAGAGCCTTGTGCTTGCTAGGCAGGCAATCTATTGCCAAGCCACAGCTTTTCAGACCTTTTTTTTTCATTTACACTAGATCTCAAAATAGCCTAGGTCTGTGCTTGTATTGCAATCCACCCATTTTATGCTTCTTATCCTAACTAGAATGCCCAATGTACACCACAATGTCAAACATCTTCTTTAGAGATGGAGTCTCACAAACTTTTTGTTGCCTGGGCAGTCCTGAAACTTTGATCCTATTGAGCTTATCCTCCTATGTGTCTAGGAAGACAGGGGCACACCAATGTACCCAGCTATTGGTTGAGATAGTATCTTGCATGTAAGCCTAGGCTGACCTTGAATTCTAATCCTTCGTATCTCAGCCTCTTAAGTAACTAGAATTGTAGCTATAAGTCACTGGCTCTTAGCTCAAAATTGCTTTTACTTATCTACTTCTTAAGCTTTTACAGCTATACTGGCCTTTATTATATTAAGTGTTATACAATTGTTATTACTTTCACATGTGCTTATAAGTTATTGGCCTTTCATCTGGATGTTAAATGTTTTATCAAAGGACAAGATAAAACTTAATTTCAATTTTTTTCAGTATTGTAATTATTTGTGTATGTATTTATATCTTTACAGACAGTAGAAGATCCAAATCTGTTTAGATTGCAAACTTTGGCTCATCCAGATATGACTTCTTATGAGCCACTGAATAATATGGAGAAGTCAAATCTGGTGGAAAATATATCTGAGCAGGAAACTCCATGTGTATTAAGGAGATCATCCAGACTGGAAAAACTGAAAGTAAGCAGAGAGGCAAAGCATGAAGATACTATGTGTAAATCATCAGAAAAGATTATACCAAAAATACTTAGCTCTGAGGAACAAATAAATAATAAATCTTCAACTGAGAATTTCAGGTATGCTATCAAATTATATCTTTTCCTCCAGACCTAATGGATAACTACCGTCAGTAAAAAGCTTTATTATTTTATTTTGCTGCTTTCTTTTCAGTTTTGTTCAGTGCCAAACTACATAGCAAGCCCCTTTTTTCTTGCAAAGATTCTGACTCCTTTTCCATTTGAAGTAAAGTGGGTAAATAATGGGGGGTGGGGAGTTCAGGAGATTCAGAATATTCACATTTGTAGATGACTACATCCAGAGAAAGAAGCATAAAAGTTTTAAAAGCCATAAAGCATGGACATGTTTGTTGCAGAATTCAGTTTACTCAGGATCCATCTCCATATTTAAAATTATCTTGTCATTTAAGAACAGCTCCATAAAATACCTCTGAGTTTTAAAACTTTAAAAATTGATATGATTTTCTGTGTATAACTATAGAAAATATTGTAATAAATTTTAATTATGACTTTTTTAAAAAACAAGAGTGAAGCATCTTGCTTTAAGGATGGACAGTAAAGAGATGAATAAGCATTCATCCAGATTGAAGGCTGAACATATCAGGAAAAATGAACAACTTGAAATTAAAAAAGGTGCGGTATATTTTCTGTATTTTTCCATTTCTCTAAATTTTCTAGAAACAGAATTCAGAGATTGGGGTTGTGTTAGAAGAGATTGGAAAGAATGATACAAGTGGTAATAATGGTTAAGATGCATTATACTTACAAACTGATACATTGAATGGTAATGTACAACTACTTAAAGATAATAAAAACATAATTAAAATTTATACATTATTTCAGATTTCTCATTTTGCTATTGAGAAAACAATTTCAGAGGTGATAATTTCAGATTTATCATATAGCTCATTGATAGCATAGATCAGATTTGCACCACTATAACTGGCCTGAATGTATTATTTTTGGCAATACTGTGGTCTAAATCCAGGGCTCTGTGCTTGCCATGAAGACACTATACCAGTTGCCAGTCCCAGTCCTTTTTGCTTTCATAATTTTTATTAGGGTCTTGCATTTATGCTTAGGCTTGTCTGAACTACTTATTTGCATTTCCTGTGTAGCTGGGATGATAGGCACATCTGTCACATATATCTTTTTATTGGTTGATGGGATCCTAGAAGCCCCTACTCTCAATCCCCCTCTGGACTGAAATTGGAACTTTATCCTTCCCATTCAGGTTCCTGAATACCTAGGACTATAGGCCAGAGTCATCATGTTCAGCAAGGGTTTCTTTTAAGTACCCTATTTGTTTTTGAAAGGTCTTTCTGTTTAGGCTGGTAGGAAGGTGAATGCCTCCCAGCCCTGTGTGCGCTTTGAGAATTGCTACATTTCCTCAGATGTTCTTGTTTAGCTTCATAGAAACTCAGCCTTTCACTTGAATAGTATATTATTCAGATAATAAGTCAAGGATCCTATTATGTAGATTTTTGGTGTCTTTATTCTCTCACCTCTGGCACTTTTCTAACAAATTTTAGCCATCGGAGCCTCCCACACTAGTCTCAGTCTCCTCATTTCAGCAGGATCTTCTGCCCTACCCCTGAATTTGTACTATGCTCTCGAAAATATATACAGGCCAAGATACCAGGGTGTATCTGATATCTTGCTAGTATGGTTGTCCATACTAGCTTTCCAGTGTTTAAAAATAGTTCCCCCTTATACATTTTGTCTAGTTTTCTCTTGTTTAACTCTTGGAAGATGTCTCAATGTTACTTGTATCTGAAAGTGAATGTCTTACACTACTTCGTTTTCATTGCAGAATGTTTTATTGCTTCATAATTAGTTATTTTCTAGGCATTCACACACTGTTAGACCAAAGAAGGGTACTCTTAGGAGAACAGAAAGGCCCAATACTTATGTATATTTGATCATACAAAAGAATATTTATCAAATTGAACTCCAATTTGTTATTTTTATGCAGAAAAAGGTTTTTAATTTGTGAAACCAGTTTGTAAAACCAAATTTTAAGAAGCTGAGCGACAAGAAATTTGAGCCTAATCTTTTTTGTAAAGATACTGTACAGAGGGGTTACAGTTACATGAGTAAGGTAATGAGTACATTTCCTATTGAGCATTGTTACCAACCCTCCTTTGTTTTCCCCCTAGCATCCCTTCTCTCCCTACCACCCCAAATCCTCCCTTCTCCCTCCTACCCCAAGTTTTAAAGTTCATCTTCAACATAGTGTCTTACACATCTCATTGTTACAACGGATCAACCTGTATCCTTGTTTCAGCATTTTGTTATTTCCCTTACCCTTCCCAAATTACAAAAATGTATAGAGAAGATGCAGGGCACCAGAATCAAATACAATGAAAACAGGGGTTATACCATGGGGGAAGAACATACAAAAGAAACAAAAAAAATCACATAGTATATTTAAAACCTCTTGTTTTTTTCTTTATCTTGGGGTTCATTTCGCTTAGCATCATCTTATATGATCATATGTTCATAGCTTTTGACCTTTTCTGCTTGTCTGGTAAGATTATCCTAAATGTATACTGGTTATTGCAAATAAGGGAAACCATGGGACCTATGTTTCTATCGGCCTGGCTTACTTCACTTAGTATAATTTTTTCCAAGTCTTTCCATTTCCTAACAAATGGGGCAGTGTCATTCTTTCTGATGGAGGCATAGAATTCCATTATATATATTATATATGCATATATATTATATATACACCACATTTTTTTGATCCATTTGTCTACTGAAGGGCATCTGGATTGGTTCCATATCTTAGCTATGGTGAATAATGCTGCAATAAACATAGTAGTGCTACCAGCTACCAGCACGATAGCTTTAGTATGGCCTTGTTTGTGGATCATTTGGATAAATGCCCAAATGTGAGATTGCTGGGTCATAGGCAATTTGTTATTTTTAATAAATTAGATAATTATAATAACAAGTACAGCTGGTACAGATACTGTTAGAGTAAATGCCTTCACTAAATGGATCTAGTGTTACCTACAGAAAGCATGGTAAGCTCTGAGAGAGGAGGCAATTGGGCTAACAGACATGTTTAGAGTAGGCAGGACTGCTTCTGGGTAAACACACATTATGTGGTGGATTTTGTTCTGGGGCATAATAAGGAAAGTCGGAAAATAACTGATCAGGCTTAAATATCTTTCGCTATTAAAAAAAATCAAGTGTTAATTTTCCTTAACTCAGTGAAAGCTGAATATTTAAAAAGAAGAAAGGTAGATTCAAATGCTCCGGAGATATGTTTGTTTTATAGGAGGCTAACTGGAGTGTAGAGCAGCTAAATTTTGGTTTATTAAGAAAGATGTTGCAATACTGTTACTCTTTATGAGGATTTAAGATGGAGTAGGTTTGAAAGGCCAAAAATTGAAAATGCTGTCATCAAAATTATCCTAAAATTTAGGAAATCAATATAAATATTATCCTCCAGATTTGACAGGATTTGGAACATCTACATGAGGGATTTCAGTATTTTAGGAGGCACAATAAAGAATTGATACTTGGTATAAACTAGAACATCGTTCTGTGTATTTCCTTGTTTTGAATATTAAAACTACTGCAAACAAAACCATTGCAAAGATCAAGGCCATCAGTATTTGTTTAATTTCATGGCATTTTTTTTTAGTGAAGAAAGTTTAACATTTCCTTTCCTGATCTCACTGGGATTACTTTCTGTAAGATGTTTTCCTCATGAATTTATAATACATTTTGTATTACAACATTTTCTAAAGTTTGGTAAAAGGAAACAGTTATTTTGGCTCACATATTTGGAGGATCCAGTCCATGATTGGTTGGCCCATTACATGGCAGGAGTATTTGGTGTCACACAGCTACTTACATAATGGGAAGGAAGCAAAAGAAAGGAAGAGGAAGGGGCTGAGATCCTCTCCCCACTTAAGGACATGTCTCCCATGACTTAAACAGTTCCTATATGCCCACTTTTTAAAAGCTCCTCAGCTTCCAGTATTACCCAGAGGACCAGAGCCTTTAGTACTATGGCCTTTGGAGACATTCAAGATTCAAACTATGTCAGATAGTATGTAATCCTAAATACATATATTAAAAAATTCTAGATCTAAATAGTCTTCACCAGCCCTTTTGTGTGTGTGGCTGTGGGGTGTGTGTGTGTGCATGTGCGTGCACTTGTGTACACATATGCTCATGCTAGTCCTGGGGCTTGAACTCAGGGCCTGGTGGGCATTGTCCTTGAGTTCTTTTTTGCTTAAGGCTAGTGCTGTACCACTTGAGCCACAACTCCATCTCTGACCTTTTGATGGTTGAGTCTCACAGACTTTCTTGCCCTGGCTGGCTTTGAACTGATCCTCAGATCTCAACTTCCTGAGAAGCTGGGATTACAGATATGAGCCCCCAGTGTCCAGTTTTCACCAGAACTTTTAAGAAAATAATTTGTTATTTTTCTCATAAATACACTTTTGGTGGTTTAATTAGTATATAAATGGATTAATATACCCATTATTATGATTTTAACTTTACTAGAAATATTTAAAAACATTGCTAGGCTCACCCCTGTAGTCCTAGCTACTCAGGAGGCTAAGATCTGAGGATCATTCTTCAAAGCCAGCCCCTGAAGAAAAGTCCATGATACGTTTATCTCCAGTAAACCACCAGAAAACCGGAAGCCATGCTGGGGCTTAAGTGGTAGAGTCCTCACTTTGAGGTAAAGAGCTGAGGGACCAGGCCCAGAGTTCAAGACCCATGACCAACTAAAACACAAACAAGCAAATAACATTTCTTCTCTCTTTTGTATGTAGCTAACATTATCATTGGATTAATGATAAAATGCTCTTTTACAATATAATATATATAATATACCATATTTTATTGACTAGATTTTCTATATTACTCCTATCCCTCTTGCTCTTCAAATAAAGATTTTTTTAAAATTTATTTTCTCGTTTTAGAAAAAATGAAGAGCAATAAAAAGTCTTTTGCTAGCATAAACAGGAGAAACATTTTTGGAGAGAACTTAATATATAAGGCTGCTCTAGATAATGATGTTCACCTTGTTCGTCATTGTATAAAAAATGGTGGAAATGTTAATCAGCCATGTTATGCTGGTAAGTTAGGGTTGTCTTGGGGGTGGCTTATATAGTTTTAGCTCACTGGCCCTTATGAAAGTATAACGAAGTGGTTCTAAAAGCAAGTGCCAAAGAAAGGATTCTGGTAAGTTTCCTGTTTAAGATGCTTTTTAACCATTACCTCTCAGGGAAGATGGTAAGGTTAAGGATGTGTTTGATGGGAGAAAAGCATTATATTTTTTTCCTTTAAAAATTATGCCAGGTGGACCATGGCATTATAAAGAAGGAAAAATGAGTCTAGCTTTGCATGGTCATTGTTAGTATGAGACTTAATCTTAAATGAAGTAAAAAACTGGAAGAAGCTGATGGTACAGTGAGCTGCAGGGGAAATTTATGATAGAATGGCAGGTGTATTACAGGAGTAATTGCTAAGGAAATGAAGAGAATAAAGTATGAGGTAGAGACAGTGGAACAGGGAGCAATCTTTCTCTAAGGCTATGTTTCTGGTACCTCCTTGTAGTAAGAGTGTGACATATTCTTTTAAATAATTATGATTCTTTAAAGATATTGAAATACTTAATGTACTGAACAGCACTGGACCAGCCAGGAGGGTACTTTTTTACTTTTGTTTCTAGACTTTCTGAATGTGTAAAGCTGCAAAATCTGCTGGTACTCTACCACTTGAGCCACATCTTCACTTCTAGCTTTTGTCTATTAATTAAAGATAAGAGTTTCACAGATTTGTTTGCTTTGGTTGGCTTTGAATTGCAAACTTGATCAAACTTGGACCTCTGAGTATAGGCATGATCTGCTAGTGCCTGGCAACTGTATATATATTTTAAATTTTGTTTAGTTTTATATTATTTATTTTATTTTATTATTTTGGCTGAGATGATTCTCTTTTAGTCTTTTTTAATTTGGTGGTATATAGGAATCTAGTTTCATTTTCTTTATGTGGACATTAATTTGCTTTGGATCATATTTTGAAGGGCTGTCTTTTTTCAGTATATACTTTTGGAAGATTAGTTGGCATTAGATACATTGCTTTACTTCTTATCTTATTCCATTGGTCTGTGAAGTACAGCCACATAATATTGAATGATACTTCTCCAAATACATAAGTTGCTTACTGTTAAAAGTTCCACGCCCCTTTTTGTCTTAAGAATGATAGCATTTCTTCATATTTAATTCTACCTTCAATTAATGCTCAGGTAACAAACAGTAGCATTGTGTTGCAAGGTCTGCAACATAGTGCAGCAATATCAATCAGGTTCTTCACAAAATTTAATTTTTACAAGGCTGGACTAGTTGTCAACCATCTGGTTACATGGTGGTTGGTGTGCCATCATGAAAAGGACAATCAAAGCCGGGCACCGGTGGCTCACACCTGTAATCCTAGCTACTCAGGAGGCTGAGATCTGAGTATCATGGTTCAAAGCCAGCCCGGGCAGGAAAGGCTGTGAGACTCTTATCTCCAATAAACCACTCGAAAACCGGAAGTAGTTGCTGTAGCTCAACTGGTAGAGTGCTCGTCTTGAGCTGAAGAGCGCAGGGACAGCGCCCAAGCCCAGAGTTCAAGCCCCACGATGGACCAATAAAAAAAAGAAAAAGAAAAGGACAATCAAGAACATGGATACATTCTTTCTCTATAAGAGTAGTGTTATAAATTGCTTCACATACTCTTAGCTATTGTAAGTTCATACTTAAATTCTTCAATAAATTTGTTTAAAGTCACATTAGTTGCATTGTATGTAATAAGGAATCTTATGTTCCTGTATGTGACTTTTTGCAGAACAGGATGGTTATTTGAGCCATGGTGAGTTAAGCACTCAGTAAGATTATGAAAGAAGTAAAAAAAATTAATACAGGGATAAGAAAGAAGCAGGTCTAATTTAATATATACTACTTAAGATTCTCAGAGCTTTTACTATGAAATCAGGAATAATGATACATGAAATGAACCTCTTAAAAAGGTATAGAAATTTTTTATTTCAGTAATACTAAGGCAATAAAAAGAAAGTGCATGGAGGTTTACTCCATGCAGGTCAGAACTCTTAGAAATACTCTGCAGATTGTAATTCACCACTTTTATGTCCATATTAACCACTCTTCTGGAGACTTCTAGATTGAGTAGTAATGAATCACTATAATGTATGCATTTCCTCTAGGTTTTCCAGTTTCTTGGCATATGTTTGCTCATCCATAGTCTCTGATGGTCTTTTGTATTCCTGTGGTATTCATTTATACTGACTTGTTTTTCATCTGATTTTATCTCTCTCTTTTTAAAAAAGTTTTTGTTAGTATAGATTAAGGTTTGTTGTTTTAATTTGTTTTTGTTTTGTTGATTTGTTGTATTTTTAGTCTCTATTTCTCCTATGATGATTGTTATTTCTAACTTTGAGTTTGACTTATTCTTGCTTTTCTAATTCTTTAAATTGTATTGTTAGGTTGTTTGAGATCTTTTTCTTTTTGGATAAAGCATTTATTTACTAGAAATTCCCTTTTTAGTACTGTTTTTGCTATATCCCATAGTTATTGCCTATTTTCTTTTTTTTTTAACTGTATTTTTTTGTCTTTTCTTTTTTGGTACTGGGGATCGAACCCAGGACGTTGCACTTGCTAGGCAAGCGCTTTGCCACTGAGCTACATCCCAGCCCAGTTTTTGCCTATTTTCTTTAAAATCTTTTAAAATTATCTTTAAGTAGTTGTATAAAGGAGGTACCATATAACAAAGCAGTTTATAAATACAAAATATCTTGAACAGTGTCACCTCCTTCAACATTCTCACCTCCCCTTCAACCTATCTCTTCTCTTCCTGTTCTTAATTTTATGGTAGATACAATGAATTCTTGACTGTGTTCTCCCCATAACTTTCCCCCTCTTTCATTTGTCTGCCCCTCTCCCCTTGGTCTCACCCCCTGGTGTTGATTTCTTTGGGCTTTGACTTAATCTTCTAAAAAATGATACTATGTGACCTCATCGTAAGAATCTTTTTTAGTTGAAATACTGTAGATAGCTATGTTTACAAATAAGGAGAAAAAGAAATTTATATCTGTGAAATGACTGATATGTAGTATCTGAGTTACCTTTCTTAGTACATTTATTTCTTTCCTTTTTTTCTTTTGTTTTGTGCCAGTATTGGGCCTACAGTCAGGATCTGGGTGCTGTCCCTTATCTTTTTTTGTTTGAGAATGGCACCCTAACCACTTGAGCTACAGTTCCACTTCCAGCTGGTTTGGGTGGTTAAATGGAAATAGGAATCTCACAGAGTTTCCTGCCCAGGCAGGCTTCCAACCTTAATCTTCAGATCTCAGCCTCCTGAGTAGCTAAAGTTATAGGCTTGAGCTACTTGCACCAGCTATGTGTATTTCCAAATCAAGCACTAGTTATTTTAGTGGAACTGTCTTGAATTAGAAATAAAGCATTTCTCTTTCTTCTCTGCAGAAAAGTAACCGGAAACTAGTATTCTGTATTAGTTGACATTATACAGTTTTTTTAATTTGGTCAGGTCAAGAGTGCTTTGACTTCTTATCTTTGACTTCTTAAATTTTTCATAACAGGATTGAGGGTTAAAATTTTTATTCATTTTCTCTTAGATTTTTTTTTTGTTTGGTGTAGGGCTTAAACTCAGGGCCTGGGTGCTGTCCCTGAGCTTTTTCACTCAAGACTGGCACACAATGCTTGATAAGAAATATACTCAGTACCTTGCTTATGTAACTGTAACCCCTCTGTAGAGTATTTTCACAATAAAAAAAAACTTACTTAAAAAAAAAGGCTGGCATGCTACCACTTTGAGCCACAGCTCCACTTCCAGTTTTCTGGTGGTTAATTGGAGATAAGAGTCTCACAGATTTTCCTACCTGTCTGGCTTCAAACTGTAATCCTCAGATCTCAGCCTCCTGAGTAGCTAGGATTACAGGCATGAGCCACTGGTGTCTGGCTTCCTGGAGGTATTTTTTAAATTTACCAAATAATACAGGGTATTGATGATACATGTTTCACAAAATCAAAATGTATTTAAAGAAATCATCTACGATTAGAGTTGTTCTTTTAAAAACAAGCACAAAACATCAAGATGCCAAATATAAGCAAATGTCACTTTTTTTGTGTGTCTAATAGGTTGGACAGCACTTCATGAAGCTAGTGTAGGAGGATTTTACCAGATAGTAAGTGAACTCTTAAAAGGAGGGGCCGATGTAAATACTAAAGGAATGCACCAGATCACTCCTCTCCATGATGCTGTGATAAATGGACACCATAAGGTATTTTAATGCTTTTGTTTGTAGAACATATGCAATATTCTCAACTACTAAATAACTGTTAATAAAATAGAAAAATATTGTTTGACTTCGGTCTGCTAATGAATATTGGTAATTCAGAATAAAATTTCATGTGATATATTTGTTGCACCTAATATCATATTTCATTTTTTATTTGCATGCATTAAACTATAGTGTTTTCATCATGATACTTTTACTCAGGCTTTTAATGTACTTTGATCAATTTTCTTTTTTCCCCCATTACTTACTGTCTTCCCTGTTCCCTTTTAAACCCATTCTCTTCCAATAATCCTGTTCTATTTACATGATGGTTCTTTGAGTTCAGGGCCTTATTTATGCTTGGTAGGCTGTTGAGTGCTTGCTACCACTTGAGCTGTGCTCCAACGCCTATTTTTTGCTATTGTTTCCATGAGTTGGAGTTCGTATTAATATGCTTCCTTATATATAGTCCTTTGCACTAAGCATTTAGGTTTGTAAGATCCCCTGTTAAGAGATCACATGATCTCCCCCCCCCTTCTGTCCTTTCTTTTTTCCTTCTTTTTCTCTCAGAGTCTTTTAAATAAGACTTTTTTTTTTTTTTTGGTCAGTCATGGGCTTGAACTCTGGGCCTGGGCACTGTACCGCAGCTCTTCAGCTCAAGGCTAACACTCTATCACTTGAGTCACAGCAGCACTTCCGGTTTTCTGAGTGGTTTATTAGAGATAAGAGTCTCACAGACTTTCCTGTCTGGACTGGCTTTGAACCACAATCCTCAGATCTCAGCCTCTGGAGTAGCTAGGATTACAGGTGTGAGCCACAGGCGCCCGGCCTAAATAAGACATTTTTATATTCAACAATTTATGAATCAGTAGCAAAGTTGTTACAGATAATTCTAGAATCTGTTGTTTAAAGAAAGATTGGGAGGTTTAATTTCTTGACCTCTGAGTATATTTTAGATATGAGGCCTTTGTCTGATGCATAGCTAGTAAAGATCTCCCATCCTGTGGGCTTTCTATTTATCTTGCTAGGTATGTCCTTTGTTATGCCAAACTCTTCAGTTTGATGCAGTTCCATTTATCTAGTCTTTCTCTGATTTGTTGTGATTATGGATCTTTACTTGGGAAGTTTTGACCTGTGTCAAAGAGCCTTAGTGTTTTCCCCATCCATTCCTGTAATATTTGCAGGATATCTGTGGTCTTACATTGAGGACCAACCCAAATGTCCCTCAGTGGATGAAAGGATCATACATACATTCATACATATATACGTACATACACACACAATGGAATTCTATGCTTTCATCAGAAAGAATGACATGTCTTCCCATTTGTAAAGACTTAGAAAAAATTATACTAAGTGAAGTAAGCCAGACCCAAAGAAACATAGGCTATATGATTTCCCTCATTTGCAATAATTAGAATGTGCTTATAAATCTACAAGTAAACTCAATGGATAGTAAAAGACAAATAATTACAACTGAACATGATCAATTAAACAATAGTCTAAATGTTCACATAGACAAAAGGAGAATATTCTTTGGAGAGGATCACAAGAGCTCATATGCATATGATAACATAAAATAATTCTTATTGAAATGAACTCCAAGAAAAGGAAACAATGTTTTTTATTGTACTGTTTGTGGTTCTTTTCTTTTTCTCTTCTTTCCTTGTTTCTTTGGTTTATTCCCTTCTGTCATTGGTTTTTATTTCTGTACCCATTGTCTTTTTTTTTGGTGTGGGGGGGGGCCCGGTCGTGGGGCCTGAACTCTGGGCCTGGGTGCTGTCCCTCAGTTCTTCAGCTCAAGGCTAGCACTTTACCACTTGAGCCACAGTGCCACTTCCAGCTTTTTTCTTTTTGCTTATGTGGTGCTGAGGAATCGAACCCAGGGCCTCATGCATGCAAGGCAAACACTCTACCATTGAGCCACCTTACCAGCCCCTGTACCCATTGTCTTGTATATAAGTTTTATCTGATTTGGGGAGAGGGAAAGGGGAAGTACAGAAATGGTGAGACAAAGGGTGAACCAATTCAGCAGTGAAACCTACTAGACACTATGTTAGTAATGGATTATACCACGTGAGGTGAGGGAAGGGAAGCCGGGAGGAGAACAATTGGGAAAGAATGAGAGAGAAGGTGACACTTTTCAGAAGAAATAGTTACAGTTTTGTAACTGTAACCTCTCTGTACATCACCTTTATAATAAAATTTTAAAACAAAGATAAAGAGGAAGGTTGGTGTTGCATGGAGTAGTGGTGCTAACACACATTTACAATCATATACTATTTGTCTAGACTCCCTTATACCAATAATCTTTTTCTAGGTAGCAGAGTTACTTCTTTTGAATGGAGCTGATCCATTATTTAGAAGTGACAATGGAAAGTGTCCTTGGGATGAGGCCAAAGATTCACGTATGAAGCATCTCCTTGAGAAATACATTCCTAAAGATGACAAATGTCTTAAATCAGGTAAGATTAAACTACCATGTTATAGCTGCTCTTCAGGTTGATAGAAAGTTACAGAAACTGAATTTCAAGTTACAGAAATTTAATTATTTTTCATATAATTTTGTTTTGAGTCAGGGTCTCACTATGTAGTTCAAGCTTGTATTGAACTTACTATATAGCTCAGATTGACTTGAACTCAAATCCTCCTGCTTCCCCTCCTAAGTTCTGAGATTATATGCAAGAACTATTACATATGTTTTAAGAAAATATATTCATTTTTGTTCCAGTCATTTAATAAAGCACAGTAATATTCAAAGTCATGTAAGAGAAAAACTCTAAAAGAAAAAGGGTAATTGTTTTTCTCTAGCTGTGGACTGTAGATAGTTAATAAACTTTTTACAAACTTGTGCTCTTTTCCTAACAGTTCTTTGAATTGTATGATAGGATAGAACTATAATTGGTTGTATTCATTTTTATGAATATGACCAGAACTGTATACATCCATTTACTAAGACTCTTTTGAAAAGCCTATCTTTTTCCTTTCCATATCTTGTGTTAAGTTGAAGTATAACACAAATTTTATCTGTACTTACCAATAAAAATATTATTTAGAAATAATATAAAAATTAATTTAAATACATGGAATATTCTTTGGACTCCTTATAACACATTTGTTAAAGTTTTTATTGTTGTTGCTCATGATATTACAGGGATCTTCTGCTTAAAATCTTGCAATAAAAATAATATAAAAATTAATTTAAATACATGGTATATTCTTTAGACTCCTTATAACACATTTGTTAAATTTTTTTATTGTTGTTGCTCATGATATTACAGGGATCTTCTGCTTAAAATCTTGCAATAAAAAATAATATAAAATTAATTTAAATACATGGTATATTCTTTAGACTTCTTATAACACATTTGTTAAATTTTTTATTGTTGTTGCTCATAATATTACAGTGATCTTCTGCTTAAAATCTTGTAATATCTGGGTGCCAGTGGTTCAAACCTGTAATCCTAGCTACTCAGGAGGCTGAGATCTGAGGATTGTGGTTCAAAGCCAGTTGGGGCAGGAAACTCTGTGAGACTCTTATCTCCAATTAACCATCAGAAAACCAGAAGTGGTGCTGTGGCTCAAGTGGTAGAAAGCTAGCCTTGAGCTGAAGAGCTGAGGTACAGTGCCCAGGCCCAGAGTTCAAGCCCCACGACCGACTCCCCCCGCCCAAAAAAATCTTGCAATAGCTCTTTCTTTAAACTAGAATAATTTAGTGTCCTCAAAGTAGTCTCTCTGTTTTGTATAAGTTGGCCACCCTATTTGTCATCCTCATTCTCTTGTCACTCTCTACTTCTATTACTCAATTACAGTTATACTGCCTTCCTTGCAGTTCCTCAGATGTGCCTCCTTTACCACTTTTAATTCTAGTTCAGATGTTACCTTCTCAATGAGGCTTACACTAGCTTAATATTGTTCTTACTGAATTATTTATCTACTGCCATGCAACAGTTACCTTAAAGTGTAGTAGCTTAGAACAATGAGCATATTGTCTTGTACAGTTTGGGGGGAAAAGGAATCTAGGAGAAGTACAGTTGAGTGGTTCTGAATTGGGACTCTCATAGGTTGTATCCTTCTCAAGGTTAGACTGGGGTAGGAAAAATCACTCTTATTTGTCACTCTTATTTGTTGTTGGCAGGCCTCTGTTCTTTGACACTTGAACTTTTCTGTAAGATTGCTGACAACCAGTAAATGACCTTAGAAAGAGAAGGAACCCAAGAATATCCCAGTCTTTTCATAATTTAATATTGGAAGTGATATAACAGAAGCTTTCCCATAATATTTCTGCTAGATATGGGTCACTCTGGGGAGAAATTTAAGCCCTACCTCTTGAATAAAGTGTCAAAAGTTATGGACATATTTTTGAAGTGACTACAGTCATTCCAGTCCCTTCTACACGGCCCCATTTAGCCTTTTCCTATAACTTTTTATCTATTGACACATTAGGCAACTGACTAAATTCTCTAGTACATTAGGCATTTGATTTATTTATTGTTTTTTTTATCTTCTCTCTATAGAACCTAAGCTTGATGAACTAAAGGATTTTTGTTTTTTCTCCTGAAGAACATAAAATTACTATGTACATGGTAGCCAGTCAAAAATATTCGTTGAGCAACTAGTGTGTTAGTCTTCTGATATGAATACAAAACAGATTATTTAAGAGATTCACTTTTCTTAAACTCTGTTTGTCAGGACTGATGTTTGTGCTCAGGACCTCACTCGTGCTTGGCTTTTTCAATCAAGTATGGCACACTAACACTTTAGCCAAACCTTTACTCTGGCTTTTTCCTGATTAATAACAGATGGGCTTTTTCTGCCCAGGCTGTCTTTGAACCAGGATTCTCAGATCTTAGCCTCCTAAATAGTCAGATTACAGGTATGGGCCACCAGCACCAAGCACATACTATATTGTTAATTTTCTCAAGAGATATTTCACTAAAGAATTTTGAGGAAGTGGCACTGTGGTTCAAGTGGTAGAGTACTAGACTTGAGCTGAAGAGCTCAGGGACAGTGCCCAGGCCCAGAATTCAAGCCCCATGACTGACAAAAAAAAAGAATTTTGTGTATTATTATCTTTGACAGCAGGCTTCTTTTTTGTGCATAGAAAAGTTTAATATAACACTTCCATACAAGATGAATGAGTTGCCTTACAAGTTGCCAACTATACTTAAGTTTGATTCCAACTAGAACAAATAATAGACAAATAGGAGAGCTAGTAATCATTTGATTAAACTGTAAATTTATATTGTAAGAATTTGTTGTTAGCTCCTGTTCATTATGGCTGAATCCTGTAATCCTAGCTAATTAGGAGATGGATATCATGGCATCTTGATTATTCCAGGCCAACTTTGGCAAAAAGAAGTTTAACAGACTCCATCTCAACCAATGGCTAGACCTGGTGGTTTATGCCTGTTATCCCAGCTATAAGAAAAGAATAGTGGCTAGCACCTGTCATCCCTAGCAATGTGAAAGCACAAATAGGAAGGCCACAGCCAGGAAAGCCTAGGCATAAAAAGAGACCATATCTCCAAAATAACCAACACAAAAAGAGGCTGGAGCTTGAGTGACAGAACATCTGTCTACCAAGCATGAGGCCCTGAGTTTAAGCCCCAGTACCACAAGAAAAGAATTACTTGGTAGTAAGTAATACGGTACTTGTTTTCCTTTATGACTAACAGATCTATTTTGCTACTTTTTAGCCAATTATTTTTATCAATTATTTACTTGCTCAAGTAATGTAGTTGCTTGCCTGCTACTAAGGACTAAGACCTATATCAAAATACCCTACCTTTAAAATAAAGAGATTATTTCACTGGTTGTGTTTTGAGATTGGTGTCTTGCTATATTGTTCAAGCTGGTCTCAAACTCCAGAATTCAAGATAATCCTTCTACTTTAGGCTCCAGAGTAGCTGGGGCTACAGAAACATGCCATGGCGCTCAGCTTTCACTCAGAGGTAATTAGTTAATATTTCTTTACAGTGTAAGTCTCACATAAGGGCAGAAAACCTTTTATCTGCCAAGGGCCATTTGGAACATCATTTGAGGATCAAATAAAATTATCAATACAGACAGATGGCTGTAGGTGAAGCATATGAGAAGCACACATGTTTGTCTTATCATATACTAAGTGATTTCTTAGGCCTTGCACATCACAGGCCAGAGCTTCCCCACCCCAGACAGTAAATCACACCAGAAGAGAAAAAAGACAGTAACTTGTGGAGGTCAGGTATATTGAAACACATTGAAGTAGGTTATTAAAACATTGACATTTACATTTCAAATTATATGAAAAATTGCAGATGTTTAGTTAGAGGCAAAAGTTTAGAAATTTAATTCTTTTTGCTTTGATGGTATGCTAAATAGCTTAGCTATTTTATGATGGCATGTATTATTTTGTACTTCCAGAACTGCTTTCTCTAGCAGTCTTAACTGTATCTCCAAATCCACAATCTCATGTTCGCGAATGCCTACTTCTATTTGTACACAACAGAATTTCCTTTATGAAAAGGATACTTTTCTCTTTGAACTTAGTTCTGTTTTACTTTGTAAGAGAATTTTCTAAGATGGGTCATATCATGTTTTACCAGATTTTGAAATTTCTTTAGTTTGAATGCTTGTCAGCCTACTTTTCACTATAAGTGTGAAATTGTTCCCTTGAAGAATCTATATGTTTATACAGACTATTTACTTTTGAGTTCTGATTGAAAGCTAGATGCCGGTGGCTCATGCTGTAATACCAGCTACTTAGGAGGCCGAGTTCTGAGGATTATGGTTGAAAGCCTGCCTGAGCAGGGAAGTCTGTGAGATTCTCATCTCCAATTAACCACCAAAAATCTGTGACTTTTTGATGAACCAGAGGCTTGAACTCTGGGCCTGGGGTACTGTCCCTGAGCTGATTTTGCTCAAAGACAGTGCTCTACCACTTGAGCCACAGCACTACTTCCAGCTTATTTTTTTAGTAGTTTATTGGAGATAAAAATAAAAGTCTCATGGAGTTTCCTGTGCAGGCTGGTTTTGATGTTATCTCTTGGAGTTTTCTGTGCAGGCTGGCTTTGAACTACAATCTTCAAATCTCAGCCTCCCAAGTAGCTAGGATTATAGGCATGAGCCACTGATGTCTGGAAGCTGTGACTTGAGCTATGACTCAGTTAGTAGAATGCTAACCTTGACAGGAAAAGCTCAGGGACCACACACCCAGGCCCTGAGTTCAAGGAAAAGAAAAAGAAAAGAAAAGAATATAGTTGAAGAGCTTTTTGAGGGTAAGGAAGGGGATGCTGGGAATGAAACCTAGCAAACTGTATGTGTTTCACAAGCATTCCATCCCAGAGCCACATCTGTAGTCCTGAAGAGCTTTTAATTATAAAGATGATGACTTAAAGGACTTGCTTTATATATATATATGTATATATATATATGTGTATATACATATATATGTATATATACATATATAAACATACATATATATATATATATATATATACCTTTAAAGCAGGTAGTAAAGTTTATCTGCTTTGGCATTGGATAGGGATTTATTTTATGACCTTGGGTAAATTAACACCCCTAATTTTCTTAATTGCAAATTTGACTTATTATCTATGAGACTGTTAGTGTGAGGATTGGAGTTAATGTATATAAAATACTTCAACACAATACCTATCATCCACAGAGCTCAGAATGACAAAGGAAAAAGAATATAGCTACCTCACCAAATTTGCCTCTTCAGAATAATATCTGTCTAGTAAGTTGATTCTATTGCAGAATCTAGTCTTAAAAACAGAGAAAATGAAACTTCTTCCTTTTAGATTCTTAGGAAACATTAAATCTTAGTTTCCTGCTTTTAATTTAAATTTGGAAAAGGTACCATATATTTATTCTCTTAATATTAATGTCTCAATAATGGTTTTATCATTTAATCTTTATAATTTTACAAGGTAGGGACTATTACTACCTTTCATTTATGGACATTTTATCCACTTACTATCACTCAGCAGATAAGCAGATGAGTCAACTGAAACTCAGGAATGAAGTTTCAGAGAATGTACTCTTTCCCCCTTGGTTAGAAAGAAACTGTGTATGCCTTTTCTTACCTGATAGAGGTAACTGGATAATTTAGGTTTTGTAATGCAAACCATAATTCGATCACTATTATTAGATATATTCCCAAGATATAAATTAAATTGCTTTGTTTTAATATTTTACATTTTGAACTTATATTCAAGGAATTTGTGTGCGTGTGCATGTGTGTGTGTGTGTGTGTGCGTGCGCCCGTGCACATGTGCATGATATATGCATTCCTGTAGTGGTGCGTGAACTCAGGGTCTAGATGCTGTCTCTGAGCTGTTTGGCTCAAGATTAGTGTTTTACCCTTGAACCACAGCTCCACTTTGAACTTTTTTACTTTGGTAGTTTTACTAGAGAGAAGAGTTTCATGGGTTTCCTGCCCAAGCTGGTTTCGAATAGTGATGCTCAGATCTTAGACTCCTGAGTATCTATGATTACAGACATGAGCCACCAGCACCCAGCTGGAAATTCATATTTTAATGAATCACATCTGAAATATTCATTTATTCTTTCTTCTGTCAAATATTCAATTAGTACTTTCTGCATGCAAGGCATTTCTTCTAGGTTTTTATCATTTTGGGGTGAATGCACAGATAGGTAGTTTTAATTTTGCTTTCAGTATTTGAAGGAAGCAATAAAAGGTATACTAAAGTACATTATTTTTATTATTAACCTATGCTTCTTTTCAAAACCATCTTTTGTTGCATATGCAATTACAATGTCATTAAACCTTTCTATGCCTATATTTTGTTTTGAAGATAATGAAGCATTCAAATTAGAACCATATTAGGTAGAGACAGTAGGAAATGATGATGATCTAATTAATTATGTAAGAATTATTCTGCTTGGTAGAAGTAGCTTGTGTAGTCTCTTAACTGAAGAGGTCATATCTAGATGGATCTGTGGGGAAAATAAAAAATAATGATTTCAGTGCAGTTTTCAGTATTAATTATTTTACTGCTTATTTTGTTCTTCCTGTAGAAATGTTACTACTCTCAGTATAATATTTAATTTCTAATAGGTAAAATTTTACTTATTCAACTTGATTTTCTCATGGCAAAAGATTTGTGGGTTCAATTCTAGTATGTGACCACTACAAGCTGTTTGTTAACGTTTTGTTTTGGTTTACAGCTCATAGTGATGGCACTCACCGAGTAGATGTAGAGGATGTACACCAGCACAAGGTATTATCTATGTTTACCAATAATGTGATTCTTATGGGAATAGAGCTACCGAACTGCTGTAGCATTTATTAGGAACAGTGTCTTCACCTTTGGTTTTAAGACACTTTGGAATAATTACATGAAAATGAGAAGATTCTAGGCTGTTAGTCTGAAAGGAATTGAGTAAATGTAGTATGTCTGGGGACAATAATATATTATTAACCATTTCCTTTCTTTTCTTCTCCATAAGTTTTATCAATCATGTCGAATTTCTTGGATTAAACATAATCTAAAAATCAAATATTTCAGTATATTGTTTCAAAATTTTACATGCCAGGCATTTACTTTTCATCTGGTATTTGAATGTGGTGAGAAGAAGCAGTGTTCCTATTTTACTTTTGCAGTAATAAACTTTCCATATAGACAAATTTAGGAGAGTATCTGTCTTCTAGCTTTTAAATCACTTGTTTTGTTGCACTGTTCTCCCAAATAGCAATGGAAGAAATTCTCTAGCTATTTAACATTGGGGAGAAGAATGTTTCTAAAGCATTTTTGAACAGTTTATAGTAAAGGAAACTGGTCTGATTGGCTAAAAAGCCTATAAAAACTAAGTAGTTTAAAATTTGAAATTATATTTATTAAGTATAATATACTAGTATAGTATATATAATACATACTATATGTAATATAGTACTAATGTACAAGTATTTTAAGTATGCAGCAGAAAATAAATATTAGTATACATACCTACTCTTAAGTCTATATTTGAGTTTCTTGTACATAGTCCACTCTTCTGAAATTCCAAATTGAATATATTCCAGCAGATCCTGTGGCTAGACACAAATTATAAAATTAAATAGAATAACAAGTTGATATCAACATTAACTTGAGAATGTAAAAGCTTAAGTTGAAAATGAAAGCTAACTATATATTTTGTTTCTATAGAAACCAAAATTCAGTTCAAAAACTTGCTCTGAGTCAGTTTCTAATGAAAATTCAAACAGATATAAACCAGAACATGAAGAAGTCAATAAAGAAAGAAATGAGGGTTTACCTATAAGTAATGAAGATATATATGAACGTTTCACAAACAATTCTACAACCACAAACTTTGGCAGATCTAAACCTAGACAGTCCTCTGTTAACCAAATATACACTCGAGAATTAAGAAAGCGCAATATCAAAGATACCAGCACAAATGTGTCTAAAAATAAAGAAAGAAGAGACTTATATAACAAGACTCAAGCAGATGATGGGGACTACAATTCAAGACAAGCAATTGCTGTTACTTCTTCCAGTATAATAAACAAATCAGTTAGTCACCAGCAGCATGTTCTCCAAACCTTTAATGATTTTCCACAAGACTCCTGTGAACTTTTCAGCCCAACTTTGTCAAGTCTGAAAAGTGTATTAGTCAGCAATACTGAGGCTTGTTCAGCTTCCAAAGAGACACATACTTACAATCTGGATTTATCAAGTAGTCAAGAAATGAAATTTTTAGAATTAGAATCCATAGAGCAAACTGAAGCTGTTTCAGAACTTCGATCACATAAAGAAATCAAGTTACCATTTGTTACTAAAGATCAGCAGATTCATACTCACCAAAAACAACACAGTAGCCCATACAAATCTCAGGAAAATAGTAACTCAGTTCAGAAAAATAATAGCTTTAATAAATGGGAAAACTCTTTCTTGTCCTTTGTAAAGGCACATTTTGATAGTGATGACAGTGATAGCAGTATCTCTGAGAAAACTGTAACATCTAAAAAGGTAGAATACAAAAACCACCATAATTACGAAGAAACTATAACAAATAGTGAAGAAATGGATTCTCAACCATTTTTACCTTCTGAGGGCCATGTTTCACAGGAAAATGAGTTAAAAGCAGGAAGCCTAACCACACTGTCACAACAGGAAGCTGTTAATTTCTGTGATTCAGATGACACGGTTATTTCTGAACAGTATGTTGTAAATTATGAACAACAACTTTATGGGATTTCTTTTGATCACTCATATTGCAATCGGGAGCCAATTTCCATGGCTTGTACAAGAATGCCTTCCACACTTGAAGTTTCGAATTTTACCTGTCACTTGGAGCAATTCAAAAAGCCTCAGGATGCTAGCTCCAGAGAATCAACTCCTTCAATGAGTCAAATAGATGCACAGAATGTGGAAAAGCCATGTGTGGAAGAGAATCAAGATGCAGAACCAAATTTTCTCAGTAATCAAACAGATACACATGTAGTAAAGGTATGTATGGAAGAGAAACAAGATACTAAAAGGAATTACAATAACAAAGACCAAAATACAAGTTCTTCGACTAGGTTTTTTCCCATAGTTGTTGATTCTGAGGCAATGGAAACAAGTGAAGTTGAAAAAAGGAGACAAGACCTTCCAGAAAAGGAGCCAATGAATAACACAGATTTCCATTCCATTGACAATATGAATAATGAATTGACTAATACCTCACAATGTAATCAAAAAGAAGAAAAGGAAATTTCTCATAAACCAGGTATTAGTAGTATTGTTCATTTTATACACATTTCATATAGACTTACTACATTTTATAGAAATGTTCAACTTAACCAGTGTTCAGTCTGACAAGAATGAGGCAAAGTGAGTCATGATTGGGGATGCTGCAAAGCCTAGGGGTAAAATAAAAATATTTGCTTTGAAAGTCATATTGTTATTGTCAAAGATAGTTGCTAAACTGTTAGTAACAAAACTAATGAATCATGTCTATTGATTTTTATTTCTTTATATTGTCCACTTATTTAGTGTCAAGTGACCTTATATCATGTCATAGCAAGAAATTGTTGGCTAAATTGATTTCAACTTATTCATTGTATTCTCACCAGAATTTTAACCAAAAAACTTCATGTTTATTATATAAGAATCACATTAAAGACTTCCATTCTTTTAAACAGTTCAGCTTGAAACAGAAACTCTAAAAAATATGCATATTCTTTTATTTTATATAACCTGTAAGCACCACAACACTGATACTGTATGTTTGTACTTGAGTTAACAAATTATGAGGCAGAAAAAGAAAAAAATGGATTCAGATACCCACAGGCTTCTTAATACCCCCAAAACAAAAAAAGGACACAATTTCAGAAAACAACAAAGTTTCTTGAAATCTACCTGCATCCAAGATTTGTATAATTATTTAAGCAAAAATTTTGTAAACAAGTCTAGTGATCAGTGCCACAAAAGAATGTCTAAACCTTAAGTTAAACTGTTCATTTTAAGAATAATATAATTTTTTTGTTTTAAGAAAAAATTTAACTATAGTTAAAGGACTACTGAGAGATGAGTATAGAAATGAAGGTGAGGGTGGGAAGTTCGTTCAGTGGTAGAGCGCTTGCCTTGCATGCATGAGGCCCTGGGTTCAATTCCTCAGCACCACATAAGCAGAAAAAAAAAGCCGGAAGTGGCGCTGTGGCTCAAGTGGTAGAGTGCTAGCCTTGAGCTGAAGAGCTGAGGGACAGCGCCCAGGCCCAGAATTCAGGCCCCATGACCGGACTAAAAAAAAAAAAAAAAGAAGAAATGAAGGTGAGATTCTCTGTTCTTAATAATTTCTTATCAAGTGTTTTGTTAACCACCTTCTTTAATGAATGCAAAGTAATGTGTTTAGACATGCTATAATTTCTTCACAAGTTATGCTTTAAAACAATAGTGACATTGTTAATGTTAGTATTAATTTGGTGTGATGCATTCTGCTTAGAATACATTTTGAGAAAGTTGTCACATATTTTCTAAGATTCTTTATAATAATTAGCTCTTGGCAAAAAAAGCCTCATTTTGGTTGCTAAATTTACAGACATAGAAACAGCCAGAATTGATAGGAGGTCTGTGAAAGGGAAAAGTCAACTTCATTTGGCTGCCAGAAGAGGAAATTTGTCCTATGTGAAAGCTCTGATAGAATCTGGAATGGATGTGAATGTAAAAGATAATGAAGGTTTGGATCATTTTAACTTAAGATTTTTACAATTTTGAATTCCCTGAAATACTTTTTCTTTTCTCTCACAATCTTTTTATTATATATATGTGTGTGTATATATATATACATACATATGTATGCATATTTTTTTACATCGGTCATGGTGCTTGATCTGGAGTCCTGGACTTTGTCCTTGAGATTTTGTGCTTAAAAGTGATCTACCACTTGAGTCAGGGCTCTACTTCCAGTTTTGGAGTAGTTATTGGAAATAAGAATCGGCCTTCAGACCTTGATCCTCAGATCTCAGCTTCCTTAGTAGCTAGGATTACAGATGTGAGTCACCAATGCCCAGCTATATATTTTTCTTAGCATAGGAAGATTTATTATTGTTAAAATAACTTTCTCTCTTGAAACAGTTTTTTACTTTCAGTTGAGAGCACTTTCATAGGTGAGTAAAGTAAGTTAAAATCTTTTTCTTAGGAGCCTTTATTTCATTCTTTAATTTTGAAAATAATGCACAATGTTCCCATTTTCATGTACCTTCTCCTTGCTCCATTTTAGTATTTCTTTTCCCTCCTTTTAAATTCTCAGCTTCTGTTTTAAAAAATTGATCCTCTGGCATTTTGCTTATGCAAAAGAATCTTGTATTAAGAATTCCAGAGGGAAAACTCGAAGGTTGATTGAATCAGATGTCATTTTAAAGAAAAATATAACAATGCAAAACTACAAATATAAACTTCAAATATTTAAAACGTCAGAAAAGATTAGCATTTACTGTAGTTCCATTATATTTTACATTTTGTGACTCTTCTGTTTTGACAGTTGTAACAACAACATTGTAATGTTTTAAAAATGAGAGTCACACATTTCTTTTCTATTTGATGCAATTTATTAGTTGCCAAATGTTTCTTTTGGTTTTCACATCAGCAAGAATAACAGCAGGATGATTTAGCTTATTCAGTTGGGATTCAACTTTATAAAAGTGGCTGGGTACACAGGCCTGTAATCCTAGCTACTCGGGAGGCTGAGATCTGAGGATCACCATTTAAAGCCAGCCAGGGCAGGAAAGTCCATGAGACACTTATCTCCAATAAACCACTAGAAAACCAGAAGTGGTGCTGTAGCTCAAGTGGTAGAGCGCTCGCTTTGAGCTGAAGAGTGCAGGGACAGCGCCCAGGCCCAGAGTTCAAGCCCCATGATCGACAAAAATAAAGTGGTTCTTTAATTCCTGATTACTAAGCATCCTTAAGCATATCCCCATCGTTATTCACTTTGGGAGAGTCACACATTTTAAGGCCATTGTTTTCATGTTATTTCTTGTCCGCTACTTAGAATATAGACATATGTATTTATATAGATATTAACTTCAATAATGTAAAAATTGTGTTAACAAAAATACTACATTAATGCTGATTGATTGAGAGCAGTGTTAATTTTTTCCTTTCCCCCCCTTTTAGGTTGGACACCACTTCATGAAGCGTCTAATAAGGGATGTAAGGATATAATTATAGAATTATTAAAAGCTGGTGCTAATGTAAATTGTGAAAATATAAATGGAATTTTGCCCTTACATGATGCTGTAGCAGGCAATCACTTAAAGGTACAGTTTATATGGGATTGGGTTCTAATTATGTTTCTTGGGAAAATGAGTGAAGAAAATGGAGATATTTTAAAGTAGTTGATTAATAAGTCAACAAATGATTCTATTTACTTACTTATTTATTTATTTATTGCCAGTCATGGGGCTTAAACTCAGGGCTGGGGTGCTGTCTTTGAGCTTTTGTTCTAGGCTAGTGTTCTACCATTTCAGCCACAGCTCCACTTCTGGCTTTTTTGGTAGTTAATTACAGATAAGAGTCTTAAGGACTTTCCTGCCCAGGCTAGCTGTGAACTGCTATCCTCACATCTCAACCTCCTGAATAGCTAGGATTACAAGTGTAAGCTACCAATACTAGGCTCAACAAATGATTTTAAAACTTCGACTTTAAAATGAAGATACCATATTGTATATATATTCAAAAAATGATATATTTTCATGAATTATTTTTCTATTTTCTATCACATAATTTAAGTCAGAAGAAAACACATTCTATAAATCTGATATATTTCATCTTAGTTGTATAAAATTATTTGCTGTTTTGCATAAGAATCCAGTTATAGTCACGATATATGTGACAGATGGTTTTAGATTTGAATTTTAACAGAGTTTTGCTATATAGCCCAGGTTGGCCTCTAATTTAAGATCCTCCTACCTTAGCTAGGATTACAGTTGTGCATCGCCAAACCTGGCCTTAGTATCTTTCTTTTAACTTAGAAGTTCTCAGTGGGCTTGAGATAGTTCTTTTTCTTTATTAGGCAATCATAAAATCTTACAAGATAAGATAACTAGGGTCATTATTTCAGTGACACTGAAATTCAAATCTGGACCTAAAACTCCTAAAACTATTAAACTCGTCTTTTTGTTTGCCAAATTTAGGGAGAAAACTTACTTCTATCAATAGGCAGCATAGGCTCAGTGGTAATTACTTTTAGAAAAATAGTTAAGGAAACTACTACCATTAACAGCAATTTAAAACAAGATATGGTTATGTAAATTTTTCTTGTTTCCTTCTATGTACCTGTTATCTTTCCTTCTGTATTTTTGATAGCTTAGTTACTTTTATTTAATTTTGTGAGAATATTCTACTACTTTCATCCTAAGTGTAACTATATGAAAGAATAATGTTATTGAGCTTATAATTTATAGAGAAAAGAGACATGAATTAATGACTAAGAACAAGACCAAAATGGATAGGCTTAATGTTCATTGTGGCTCATTTGACCAAAATAAATCCATTACTTTAAGATATTTAAAGTGAAGGGAAAATAGATACATTTTCCAAGGTTGTATGGTCCCTGCAAATGAAAAAAAAGCAAACAGAAATAATCGTTAAAGAGATAATCTACTAATTATGTATACAGAGAAAATGCCAGTTAATATAAAGCTACTTAAACAAAGGTCAAAATGTCATAGTGGTTAAAATCAGATCTTTTCACTTATCCTGAAAATTGTTTAAGGATAAATATTCTATAATTTAAATGAAGGTGATAAATGATACATATTTTAAATGAAGGAGGAAGAGAAAGTTATTGATTGATAGGTAAAAGAGATGCCATGGGCTGGGAAGGTGGCTTAATGATAGAGTGCTTACCTCACATGCATGAGGCTCTGGGTTCAATTCCTCAGCACCACATAAGCAGAAAAGGCCAGAAGTGGCGCTTTGGCTCAAGTGCTATCCTTGAGCTAAAGAGCTGAGGGACAGTGCTCAGGCCCAGAGTTCAAACCCCATGACTGGCAAAGAGAGAGAGAGAGAATGTCATACAAGTTAGCAAGGAGAGATATTCAATTGGGCACAGTCTTATAAATGATCTTTTTGTCTTGTTTTGTTTTGCATTGCTTTGCTTTGTTTTATGTTTCTTTGTGTTTTATTTTGAGACAGGGTCTCTATGTAGCTCAAGTTGGTCTCAAATAATGTGATTTTTCTTTCTCAGCCTCCTAAGTGCAAGGATTACAAGTGTGTACGACCCCTCTGGTGTAAGCGGTCTTAATTAGTGAAAATTTACCTATTTTTGAAGGCTTAGTCTTCCATCACAGCATTGTTGTATTTTCAGGGAACTGAGAAAATAATTACTTAGCTATACAGTATTTTTTTGTAAAAATATATGTGTTGAGTACAAAACTACAAGAGATAACAAAAGGAGAACTTACTCGAGAATAAAATACTGAAACATTATTAGACAACTTGGATTCAAGACCTAGCTCTGCTATGTTTATGTCTTTTTCTCTGAAATGAAGAATTTAGTCTTGAGCTGAGTTACACTGTCTCATAAGCCACTAGATACATGTGGCTGTTTTAAATTTAGATTAAATTAATTAAAAATCAGTTCTTTGGTGCAGTAGCTATATTTCAAGTGATTACTACCTACATGTCTTGAGCAATAGCTGAATTAAACAATATAGATTATAGCATTTCCATCATCAAAGAAATCTCCATGGGACAGCTCTGATCTAGGATAAGTGTTGGTAGTATTTTCTGTAAAAGGATAGTTTTAAACACTTCAGGTATTCTGAGGCTGTGATAGAATCTGTTGTAGCTACTGACTGTATTATAATGTATAAATAGTGCTAGACAATACGTAAATCAGTGTCACTATGCTATAAAAAAAAACTTCATTTAAAAGATCAGACAGCAGGCTGAATTCAGCTCATGAGCTCTACTTTTCTGATCTTTGATATACAGGTTCACTTATTTCCCAATATGTGTAAATGGTGATATAATCAAAGCTTGCTTTTGGAATAACTTTTCATGTCTGCCTTTATTTTCATTTATAAATTTGTTTCTGGCTATATAGGTGGTCAAATCATGCATGGTAGGCAAGTATTCCTGAGTTTCATCCCCAGTCCTTTATTACATTTATATGTTTGTTTTTTGTTTGTGCTGACCTTGAACTCAAGATTCTCCTGTGTTCATATCCTGAGCACTCTAGGTTAAAGGCTTCCACAACTATTCCCAGATTGTTTATTATGTTTACTTTAAGGATAAACATTCTATATTTTAAATGAAGGTGATATATGATGTATATTTTAAATGAGGGTATCTCTCTATATATATGTATGTATATTTTTTTGGTGGTTCTGAGGTTTGAACTCAGGTGTCTCACTCCTGCTAAGCAGACACTCTTACTGCTGAGCCAACCTCCAGCCCTGATTTCGCTTTTATGTAGTATTATTTAAGGCAATACTAGAGTTTAAACTTGGCCTTACATTCACTTGACTTGCCTATTCAGCTTGCTTGCTTAGGTGGTACTTAGCTGGTACCACCACTTGAACCATGCCTCTGGAATGATTTTATGATGATTGTTTTAAAGATAAAGTGAATCTTAGATTTTTCTGCCCAGGTTGGCTTTAAACAATGATTCTCCAGCCTCCTAAGTAGCTAGAATTACAAGCATGAGCCACTGGCTCCCAGGCTTTACTTGTTAATTTTGAGAGAGTCTTGCTTCCTGCCCAGAGTAAAACCTGGGTAATATCTACCAGTTATGCTTCATGGTAGCTAGGATAATAATAATTGTAATTCTCTTTAACATTGATATGTTGCCAATATTTTCTTATTTATTAACTTTTAAAATCTGTTTAAATTAATATTTTATTATCTTAAAGTAGTTGGGGATTACCATTCAACATGTCAGTTAAGGAGTACAGTGCGTCTTGATCAATGTCATTCATCCTTTTATCATTCTTCTCCATCTTCCCAACCTCACTCGTCCTTTGATTTTATTAACTTTTATCATCTTGTTTTCCAGCCCATTTTCTATCATTTTATTTCTGACTTACTTTCAGCCCTCTGTCCCTATTTCTTCATCTGGAGATAGAATAGAATAGTTGAAACCCTAGAATTCTACATTCAGCAAAAATAATTTCAAAATAAAGGTGATATTTACAAGGATATGGATAAATTTGGATCCTCAAGCATTGCTGGTAGGAAACATTTTAGCAGTTCTTCAAATAGTTAAAAATAGAGTTACCATATAAAGATATACTCCTAGGTATATCTTCAAGAAAATAGCAAATATGTTCATATAAAAACTCATATATGAATTTCATGGTATCATATTCATAATAGCCAGAAAGTAGAAACAATCAAAATTTCTATCAGTTGATGAACATATAAATAAAATGTGATATATTTAATGGGGATATTATTAAGCCATAAAAATAAATTATTGATATATTCTACAGTATATAATAACCTTATAATTATTATGCTAAGTAAGAGAAACCAGACATAAAAGTTCATGAATTACATATTTCTACTCAAATGAAATGTCCACAATAAGCAAATCCATACAATCATGAAAGAATAGTGGCTGCAGGAGCTAGAAAGCGGATATGAGGAATGACTGTTAGTGAAAACGGACTCTCTTTTTGGTTGAGATACTTTCAGGAATTGCAAAGTGGTAGTAGTTTTACAACCTTGTGAACATACCTCATTGCAGTGAAGGAATTATATTTTATGTAATTGTGTCTTAGGTTTCTCTTATGAGGGCTAGTGAGGCCAAATCAATTGATTAGTTTACAGTTGGTGTACTAAAATCTAAATTAAAATTGTTCTTTTATGTAATTTGAAAACAATTTTTGATAACTTCTAGTTCTTTGTATTGGTGTGTTGATGTGAAATATGCATCTAGAGATAGCCTTGAAACACTACCTACATTGTAGGCAGCTGAGATACTACTACAACACGGAGCAGACCCTAATAAAAGAGATCAAAAAGAGAAGACTGCTTTTGATGAAGCAGATAATGAAAAAATGAAAGAGTTGCTGAAATCTTACGATGTTATTGAGACCAATGATAGAAATGAGAGTAGTGCTATGGTCACTGGTATGTATATCAATCTTGCTTGATATTTTACACAAGTGTATACCTCTGCTTAGGAAATTAAATCTTCACATATATAGCATAAGTTGCCTCATAGCTGGAGATTGAGTTTTTAATGTCCATTAAAGCTCTTTTAAAGAAATTAACATGTTCAAATTTGGTTTAATTTATAGATAACGTGATCCTAATAGTTTTCTATTATTGCCTGCTTGCCTTTCTCCCTTCCTTCCTTCATTCTTTCCTTCACTCCACTTTCCCTTTTCCCTTTCACTTCCTTTCCTCCCTTTTCTTCCTTCCTGCCATTGGGTTTGAGATAGAGATAGAATTGAAACCAAGCAGATTAGTTTACATTTATTAAGAATTGAAAAGATAACATTATACTAAAGTCTTTGCAACTAAGATCTTTAAAATTTCATACTAATTCATATTTAATAATTCATTAATTAGATTCATGCCATCTTTTCAACACTATATTTGTATATATATGTATAATATATACTATAGAATAATTTATGGAGTAGATAGCTAGGCAAAAATGTATTAATCATTTTATAAATAATTTGCATTTCATTAAATGCTTAAGAGAAAGAATTGTTCTTCCTTTCTCCTCATCTTGAATCTTGAATTACAGAAGAAACTCAGACATATCTACTGTTGCTATGATGTTAGGATAAGAACTTCTATCTTATACTTTTCCCCTAGTCTACCGTCCTCCTCACCAACCACTGATTTTCAGGAAACAAATTACTGGTAGATATGATTGGTCAGAACCAAGGATATTTACTGTATAATATATTAAGTTCAAGACTACTTTTTTTCCTTTTTTCACAACCTTCCATCATATGGTAAATATCCAGATCCATTTCTTTCTTCCTCTCTCCAACCACACCTTGAAAGCTCAAGTTCCATGATGTAGCTGAGCACAGCTGGCTACAAAACATTGCATTTTGAGTTATTGGGATTCTGTTAAAAAGTGCTATTATCTATTCCCATATTTTGATTGTGTCTTAGGTATAAACAATTAAGAACTCGGCAGAACAATGAATTACAGTTATAGTGTTAAAAGGCTTGGACTTGAAGTCAGATAAGATCTAGTTTCAATACTAAGGCCGTATGGCATTCAGTATTTTCTTGAACTTGTCTGAAGTATTACTTTCTTCTGAAAAATGAACTACCTACCTGGAAGGGTTCAAATGAAGATTAAATATGATGATTCCCTAGAAGTGTTTGCCATCTATCATATGGAAAAAGCTCAATAAATGTTATCATGATAACAATAATGAGTTGATACTTAACATTGACACATTATAATGTAGAATTAATTTGTCCTTCATATCCCTGTCACCATTGTAACTGAACAAATGACGCTCAAATTTTAAATTCTTTTTTTTCTAACTTAATTTTTTAAAGTAAAAATTCCTGCTGTTCCGTTAAAAAGATGTAGACAGTATTTTTGTGATAATGACAAAACTTTTGAGCCACCTTCCTCTTCACACCAAGCAAAAAGAAGAGAAAGTCTTCCTATGGTGAGTGAAAATGAAATTCTTCCATTCTTCACCCTAGAAAATGCCATTCTGTGAGCCAGCCAGTTCAAGGAATGTTGACTATGGACAACATTCTTTCAATTTTAAAGACACATTGATTAAAAAAAATTGTCACAGAAAGTAAGGTAGTATACTTGAAAAGGAGCCAGGAAGATGGGCTATATGGTTTACTCAGTCGAGTTCATTGAACACAGCACAATAGATTAGCTGCTGTCCTTTTCACTTGAATTGTATGGCCACTCTTGTCCTATAGACACTGCTACAGTCATAGTATATCTTCACTCACTCAGTCCCCATACTGTCTAGGATATATACTACATGGAAAAGACTGTGGAAGGGAGGGAGCCAGGGAGAAGGGGCTGTGGCCATACACCAGAGAGACTGCTGTGGTGGCTGTACTAGCTGTGGAACTGGCAAGAAACTGCTAATGTTCCCTCTGGAATCAATGTAGAGTTGTATTAATAGAGAGGAGAAAACCTGTGGTAACTATGTAGGCCTTAATGCCATGTCTGTAAATTAATATCTTCTGATAGTCATGAATTCATTGTAAAAAGAGATGCACTATCATCAGGAATAATAAAAGCCATGTTGAGTGGCCCAGGTCAGTTTGCTGAGAATGAAACCAATGGGGTCAATTTCATAGAGCTCCCTAGGCATGTGCTAAAAAAAAAAAAAAAAAAAAGCATGCAAGGTTCATTACGCTAACAGCTCCACCAAGATTCCTGAATTCTCAATTATACTCAAAATTGCACTGGAAATGTTGATGGCTGAAGACTTCCTAGATTGCTAAAGAAAATAAATTACAATAAATGTTCGGTATTTAATACCTGTAGTTCAGTTAGTAATTTATTCACATTTAGATGATGCAATATATTACATAAATTACATAATATATATAATTCTAAGGACAGTGACAAAACAAAATAAGACCACAATGAATATGGATTGTTATATAAAATCTCATGCATAAAACCTGATTAATCTTATTTCTCTTCTTTAGATTAGTTCATAATTTCAGAGTTATATAGTTTTGCAAATCCATATATATTATATCTTATACATATTTCATTATCAAGGTAATAAAGTCTTATAGGAAACATGGTCTTTATATTCATGTATCCTTTTTAAATTCTAGGTATATAACTCTAGATTAATAAATGAAGACTGATGAACCGACTCTTTTATCCTCCCATAAATTCTCAACATATGTTCATTTTCTAAATGTGTAGGTCCTTAAAGCCTTCTAATGTATGTTGTTCTGAAATTTTGCTTTGGTGTTTATGAGGGATATGGAAAATATACACAATAAAACTGTCTATTCTGTAAGGCAATCTTACTGTTGTCAAAAGTGCAACTATAAAATATGAAGATACAAAACAAGGACTACCCCCAGGCTTACCTTTTAATAGTGAGCAGTTCGTAATTATAAAAGCAAACAAAAGATCTAAATTTGTATCCAGGACAAGCATATACTCTACCCTAACCTAAAGTTTAAGTTAAAGAAAATATCTTGTTTATAGTTGTTTAGTAAGTTATATATTATTTGATAAAATGGATAGTCTTAGTCTGACAAATACACAAAGTTTGTTAGGCACAAACTTAAACAAGCCAGATAGTATCCTCAAGAGGAGAAAATGTTGGTAGGGTTAGGTGTTGAACTCAGAGTCTTGTGCTTATTAGGCTGCTGTTCTAACACTTGAGCCATATCCCCATCCATTTTTATTTATTTATTTTCAAATAGGTCCTAACTTTTCTCATGCAGGCTGGTCTGAATTGCAGTCTTCAACTTTATACCTCTTCACATAGCTGCGGAGTGTGTGTGTGTGTGTGTGTGTGTCTGTGTGTGTGTGTGTCTGTGTGTCTGTGTGTGTCTGTGTGTGTTTTTTTAAGATAGAGTCTTGTGACCCTTTTGCTATTTGGCCTCAAATTGTGGTCTTCCCACTTTCTACTTCCTGTGTGCCAAAAATTACAAACATGAGCTACTGTGCTTAGTTGAAATATTAGTTTAAATAAATCTTGACTATAACACATTTACAATTTGAGACAGAAAGGAAACTTGGCACCAAAAGATATTTTCTTTAACTTAAACTTTAGGTTAGGGTAGAGTATATGCTTGTCCTGGATACAAATTTAGATCTTTTGTTTGCTTTTATAATTACGAACTGCTCACTATTAAAAGGTAAGCCTGGGGGTGGTCCTTGTTTTGTATCTTCATATTTTATAGTTGCACTTTTGACAACAGTAAGATTGCCTTACAGAATAGACAGTTTTATTGTGTATATTTTCCATATCCCTCATAAACACCAAAGCAAAATTTCAGAACAACATACATTAGAAGGCTTTAAGGACCTACACATTTAGAAAATGAACATATGTTGAGAATTTATGGGAGGATAAAAGAGTCGGTTCATCAGTCTTCATTTATTAATCTAGAGTTATATACCTAGAATTTAAAAAGGATACATGAATATAAAGACCATGTTTCCTATAAGACTTTATTACCTTGATAATGAAATATGTATAAGATATAATATATATGGGTTTGCAAAACTATATAACTCTGAAATTATGAACTAATCTAAAGAAGAGAAATAAGATTAATCAGGTTTTATGCATGAGATTTTATATAACAGTCCATATTCATTGTGGTCTTATTTTGTTTTGTCACTGTCCTTAGAATTATATATATTATGTAATTTATGTAATATATTGCATCATCTAAATGTGATTTTCACATAATGTATAATGTTATATATATATTTATATACACACATATATATCTGTTTAGCTGCAAAGAGGGCAAGTAACTTGGCAGAGTCACCCAGCTAGGAAGAGGTAGGCTAAGATCTCCACCAGATTTGGTTCTGAGGATCACTCCTTGATTCTCTCATAAGAAAGCAAGGGGTCTGAGCAGAGGGAATTAAAGGCATCCCAGGATAAACAGTGGTACTGACAAGAGGTAGAATTAAACTCTCTTGTAAGTTTTATAAGTTTTTGAAAGATTAGTGTTTTGAATTTCTAAAATCATGTGTGAGACTTAAATAGTATACAATAATATTCATAAAGCCTTAAGATATACTTGCTTATATGTCTTGAGTATTATGTACTGGATTTTTTCTCTTGTATATAATTTTAACAGAAGTAAGAAATTCTGATGCCTTATGTGGTTGCTACTTTTATTCTATTTTCCTGGAAATCTGCTACATAAATCAAGATATATTTAAGTTTACTCTTTTTTTTAAGTCTGCAACATATTAACAAGAAACTTGGTTTCATAAAACATGAATACATTTTGAACATAAGGAGAAAAATAAACACTTTAGCAACAGTGATTTACTGTGTGTCAGTACCATGTCAGAGATCAACCCTCTCACAATAAAGTTTCTAATGTTCTATCCTGACAGCATCACACCATTTCTGATATTCTACAAGATATAGAAGAAAAACAAGAAAACTTACTAGAGTTTGAGATAAGAAACTCAGATGATGCAGGTAAACATGTACTTATATTCAGGTATGATTATTTCATAAGTACAGTGTTGATATTGCCTCAACACCTTAAGGTGTGTATTAAAATCCCACAATGGCTGAAAAATACCTTTTTATATGAAAATATTTAAAGTGTCAAATTAGGAGCGATAACATGAATAAGTAGTTTGTGCACTTGTTTGAAAGTGCCTCTATAGGGCTGGGAAGGTGGCTGAGTGGTAGAGTGCTTGCCTTGCATGCATGAGGCCCTGGATTCGATTCCTCAGCCCCACATAAGCAGAAAAAGCCAGAAGTGGCACTGCGGCTCAAGTGGTAGAGTGCTAGCCTTGAGCTGAAGAGCTGAGGGACAGTGCCCAGGCCCAGAGTTCAAGCACCATGACCAAATAAAAAAGTGCCTTTGTATTGAATAACTTGAGGTATTCAATACCATGATTACAGATAAGCTACTACTGGTGAATGATGATATGACCAAAAGCATAAGGAAGGGAAGGGTAGATAAAGATAACATACTAATCCAGGATCCTAGAATTTAGTCAGTGATATAGCAGAATTAGAATTTAGACTGGTCTGTGCTTTCTTAGTACAATGTTGTAGCCTGTTTGTCATACAGGCTAGAACATAATAGATGAACTTTGACTTAGCTATCTATGCCATTAATATTGGGAAAATATGTAGGTAATGATGTGTTGTTGTTGTTGTTGTTGTGTGTGTGTGTGTGTGTGTGTGTGTGTAGTTGAGCATGAACTCTGTAGGTAATGATGTGTTGTTGTTGTTGTTGTTATTGTTGTTGTGTGTGTGTGTGTGTGTGTAGTTGGGCATGAACTCTGGGCCTGAGCTCTGTCCCTCAGTTTTTTAGCTCAAGGCTAGTGCTCTACCACTTGAGCCACAGTGCCACTTCTGGCTTTCTGGTGGTTTATTGGAGGTAAGAGTCTCACGGACTTTCCTGGCTGGCTTTGAATAGTGATCCTCAGATCTCAGCCTCCTGAGTAGCTAGGATTACAGGCGTGAGCCACTGGCTCCTGGCTGTTGTGGTTTTTTTT